ACCATGTCTAGATGGGCGGCATATAAATGCAATAAATAAATAAATAAATAAATAAATAAATAAATAAATAAATAAATAAATAAATAAATAAATAAATAAATAAAAATTAAGTAATCACCCATTAATTTTAATATGAAGAAAAGTTAATCATATATTTAATTATTCTGTTGATGTATATGAGAATAAACTGTGCTGAATTTTCCTATATCATGTATTTCGCTCTACGCTTAGAGAGCTTATTTAACTGCAATATACTTGCCTGAATAGTTTGTGAACGTTTTGAGATCATCTAGACTAATAGGGACCTGTGCACCAGAAATCAAAACCTAAAAAGAATGGGAGACAAACATATTTATTTTCAAGCAGAACTTCCACATCTTTTTTATTTGTTCACATTATTAAGTAAATTATTTTCTCCATTGATTTAGGCAGTCGTACCTGAATTTCTTGCTGATCAAACATTCTAAGCCATTCAAGATTAACAACATTGGCAAGACCCTGCCTAAATGCGAGACAGTGTTGTCTGATCTGTTTATTTAACCTGTAGTCAGCCACAAGATGGATGTAGGCAATTCGGTTGGCGCTAGTGACAGGAATATCCTTTCCACCAGGCTTCAGTTCAACCACCTGCAAAACACAAACATTTTCTATAAAAGGTCGTGGGCAATGAATTGCAATCCCCTCTACCCCAACATTAATAATATATTTCATGACATTTTGCTAGCATAGCAGTTCCCGTGCCCCCACCCTTACAGCTAAACAATAAGTACATTACAGCACAATCAATATAGATGGACTTTTACAAAGAAGGGAGAAAAAACAGTGCTTGTCTAGAAGAACACACTAATCAGCAGCAAAGAAGATAATGTGGCCTATTTCTTCACAGTGTCTCCCACAAGGTGGCATAATGTACCTGCAGAATCTTATCCAAATCATGCAGGTCATAGTTCAACTGATGGCTGAACTGCAATGAACGTATTTTTAAAGATTTCATAATTTCAGTCAGGAAAACTTGCATAGAGCCAGAAATCAGTTCTATTCTGCCTAAATTCTGAAGACGATTCCTTTTTTACAAGAACAGGCAAACATAATACAGTGATGCTCACAGGAGTACCCAAACTACTACTAGTCAATTGTCGTGTACAGTGGTGCCTCGCTTAGCGATCTCTCCGTTGAGCAATGAAATCACTTTGCGATGGACTTTTGGCCATCGCTGGAGCGATCGCTTAGCGATGTCCTCTATGGCTAAAATTCGCTTTGCGATGATCACAGGGAAGTGATCATCGCAAAGCGAACTTTTTTAAACAGCTGATCGGCGGTTCCAAAATGGCCACTGCAAAAAATGGCCACCGCTGTTTTGCCTCGCTATAGAGGCGCCCAAAATGGCCACCGCTATGGAGGAATTTCACTTTAAGGTAAGTTTTTAGCCCATAGGAACGTATTAAA